GTATTCCAATCCTTACACGCATGCCTTAAGGTGTGAGCGTAGTGTTTTGTGGATTGATTACCACCTCCTAATGTTCTTGTCATGGAGGGAAATATCCTTGTCATGGAATTACTACCTAACAGCTAGTAATGGCAGCTTCAATTATTCAGTTAACTAAGCTAATAATAGCTAATGACTACTATTAAATATAACAATGGTGAAGACATTGTTAAGCCCTTTATATAAATGATCTTATTTAATTCTCACCTTGACCCTATGAAGTAAATGATATTATTTACCCCATTTTATAGACCAGAAAATTGAGGGTTAGGCAAGGTGAGCAGCTTGCTTAATGCTCTGTGGCCAGCAAGTAGCAGAGACAGGAACAAACGTAGGTCTGTATGATGCCAGTCCTATGCTCCATCACACTACCACTAATTTTATATGATCTTTTCAGATGTATCTAAGCCCCAATGTTGCAACCTGTGCTCTAAAGAACTTGTGAACTTTCTAAATTTAGATACTACCTTGTGTGTGTGTGCAAGTAATATTTGTTCTTCTAGGGGTCCGTAGCTCTCATCAGATTCCTTCATCTAAATGAGGGAATAAGATCCCTCATCTAAAACAGTGAAGAGCTGGTGATCTAGCTAAGCTAGATTTTAGCTAGAGATTAAGTTACATCACCACAAAAGTCACATATTTGGTTCACACTGATCATTTTCCCTCCACTTCTCTTACCTCATAGAATTGCTGTTTTGAGTTGGTTTTGGAATTATGTCTTGAATTAAAGAACATTACAAGAAATAGTATATAAATTTTACTACAGTATTTACTTCAGGGACATTTTTGAGGATATTTTCCAATACATCTTTCGGTTTCTTCTAAAGAAAAACCCAGGTAATAAATTACCACAAGAAAGAAAATATCTTCGAATATGTGGCAAAGAATGTAATGGTATATCCCTTTATTCAAAAAGTCATATTTCATATTCAAAGTCTTTATGAAACATAAAGGAGTATAAATTCAAATATTTAAAAACTTGTTTTCCTTTATCTATTACTTCATGCCTAAAAAAGAGGCAGCGCTTTGAAATCTTGCATGAATTTGTTCTTTAACACCTTTACCTTCAAGATGCAAGGAAACGTTCCCAGTTTGGGACATACAACAAACTTAAGTAACACAAGCACCTTCAATAATGAACACTTTCTTACTGATTAACTTTATGGAAGATTATGTCTTGCTTGTCTTCTCACCCATGAATACTCACTACAGACAAAATAGATTTCTTGAATCATCTGTAAAGTAGCTATGTTACAGCTATTTTATGTTGTGAGGAGAATGAAAACCATATGGATTAAACATAAGATTTGAAGGGGAAAATTTCTCTTTCAGTCATGTACACTTGAGTACATGAATTTCTCGAAGCCTATCCCAGTCAAAATATCAACTAGCAGAGTAGTTGGCCAAGATAGTGATATCTACACACAGGTTCAACATTTTTCTCAGGAAATAAATTTGGATTTTCTTAAAACGTTATAATAAGTTATAATAAGTTAATTAAGTGCTGCCATAGAACATGACTCTTGAAAACATTGTAAGTTAGGTTGTTGAACCAATTGTGAGTTTTGCTGGGGGACTTTTAAACAATCAAGAGAAATTTTGAGATAGTCCATTGGATGGCTGATCCAAGACACGTATCCAGAAAATCATATCTACAGCCTTGGTTTTAATTACTTCCTGCAAGCCAAGAAAACTCCCAAAATTTGGCTTTGAGTTAAGACCAATCTTCTAAGCTCTTGACCTCTCTATTTAAGTACTGGCTTCTCACCTCTATTTGGGAGTCTCAGGTCTTTCAGTCAGTATCAGAAGTGAAATTCATATACATCCAACTTGACTCTTCTCAGTTCCTTCTCCAAATAGTACTTTGTGTCCCCCAGAACCTTGTGTGATAACTTGTTTAATTCCTCTCCCTTTCTGCCTCCTCCTCCCTAATCATAATCCTCTTCTTTCCAGCTCCCCTGCCTAAACTGATTTAGCTGAAATTTTTTTTTTTACCCAGATAACTGAATAATCCTCTAGATAGCCATGTGGACTTCCCTCTTACCTAGATACAGTCCATTCTTCACATTAGAAGATAGGTGATTTTTTTTTAAATTTCCTATTTTTTTTTTTTTAAGATTTTATTTATTTATTTATACAAGCACTGGGCACAGTCAGAAGCACGGGAGGGTGAGAGAATTCACCAGAGCCAGAGTGGGGAGCAGAACAGGCATACGATGAAATACACTGCTGAGGGGAGCAGCGGGCGTGGCAGGAGAGGTCTGTCATGTGGGACCCTCGCTGGTGACCAGGGATTGAACCGGCGCTGCAGAGGCTGCGGACAGCTTCGCAGCCCAGCACTCAACTGCTGTGCCACCAGGGGAGGCCCAGAAGATAGGTGATATTTTAACATTTTGATGGGATTACATCATTCTTTCACCAAGTTCCTTGTTGACATCCCATTACTTAAAAAATTAGGACCCAAACCATAAATGTGGCCTAAAAGGTCCCATGTGATCTGAATACTTCTTCAGACTCATCCCTAGCACTTTCTACCTCTTGCCACGTTGCTCTTACTCAGGTTTGTCTACAACCAAGTGCCTTCTTGCCTTGAGTTCTTACATACACACACACTCCATACACACCCAACTCTGCTTCACACACTTCTTAACAGGACCTTTCCTTGTTACCTCTGACAGATTCACCCTGTTATAATTTTTATAGAACTCTATATTTGTCTTTCCTAATGCTTATCACTAATTAATTATGTAACTACTTGTATAAGATCTTTTCTTTTTGTTTGACAAAAATTCCATGAAAAGTGGATGATAAATCTCTCTTTTCTCACTGTATACCCAGTGTCTGGCATAGTGCATTGCACATAATAGATACAGAATGAATTAGATAACAAATGATGAGCCACCTGCATGAGTTTGGTGGAACTCTAAACAGTTACATGATTTCACCTTGTGGAAATTATTAAAAATATCACTAAATATTTTCTATTTTGTCTTAGGAAAAATCAAGTCTAAACATAATTTTAAGTAAAATCTAGGCAAGAAGAGGGTGTACATTTACATGTATTGAATACCTACAATGTACAAGAGATTTAAATTATTCAAGAGATGCTAAGTCTAATGTAATTCTCACAAATGCCCATGAGAAAGGAAAAGCTTTCCCAAGGAGTAACCTGGCCATATCAAATGACAGAGATGGCAATAATTCAATGATCTCAACAAATAAGTCCACTTTTCCTAAACTACCAGTGCAAATTTATCTTCTTGGGTATTATAGAACTATGGAATAGCATCTTTCATGCTGCAGGTATTCAAGAAACATTTCTGAACAATTTTGTTGATTTAGTTACATCTTTTTTAACAAAAGGAGATGCTGGGATAAAACTCTGATTACAGTGTCAAGAAGTCATTGCCATTACAAAATGGCCACTCCATTTAAGGAATGAAAGACCAAAAGATAACTATTAACAATAGTGATTTGATACATATTCTAAAGACAGACTAATCACATAGAAAACTTAAGTAAGACTGGGGGTTTGTGGAAGAAGTATTAATAAAATTAAGACAGAAAATAGGAAGTTTTCTATCTGCTTCTACACCATATACTGTCAGAAACATTTCCCTCTGAGGTTTATGAAAGCATATGAAAAATTCCTGTTCTCCATTAATTTGTCTGACAGAAATGTCTGTGCTAGAGTTCTATGTGCCAGGACCTTAGATATGCAGGTGACAAGGTGGTCCATTTCTCTGTCTCTTATTTTCTGTGCCTGGTGCCTCTAAAAAAGCTGCAGCGGGGTGACGGGGCAGGCCATCCTCTGCACGGAAATTCATCTTTGGTGCTTTGGATGACAGATTTGAATGTCACTCATTCAAAAGATATAAACCTGCTGCTGTAAGGAATTGGATTCCTCAGTCCACTGTGTGTGTGTTTGTGTGCATTCAAGTCTTTTTTTTTTTTTTTGCTTTGGATACGGTTCTTATATGAAGTTGCAAGGTCACACCTGTGTGGGTGGGAGGAGGGTGAGAGGTTGACTATACCTTGTGTCAGTGACATGGTGAAGAGAATTCCCAGAAGAGAATAGACATTTTGAAGGTGGGGTTTATAAAGTCAAGAAGACATGCTTGTTGCTCTCTGGGGCCAGTTTCCCCTGTTAGAGATGGCTTCTGCTGCACGGATCATGGGCAAATGACCTGCAGTTTGGTGGGGGAGAGCAGGTAAGAGGGCTGTATCTCTAGGAAACCACTAGATAAAACATAGTTAAGAGATATTTTATGAACTATGTTGCCTGAACATATGTTCCTCTCTGGTTTTATTTCCCTTTTTAATTATATCTGAGCTTTAAGTGGAGTTTGTTTAAATGCTCCAGTTCTGTGCTCTAGTACCAGGAATTTAGAGAACAGTTGTGTTCTACATTGAGGGAGAGTATAACAGGGTGAACATTTTCTTCTACTTGTGTCCCTCATGTTCCCATTCTCTGCGTGCATGTGATGGTTGTAGAATTGATTTACTGAGACAAATGATCTCTCCATCTACCTCTTCCCCACATGGCAATATTCTTTCTATTGAAGCTGCAGAAGACAGTAGAGCTGACTTACTGAGCAAGATTCTGGTCAACTTGTGGAACAGCTTTAGAATTTCCTTTACAGTGAAATTTCAAGTTCAGAATTCTCCCTAATCAGATTGCTCTTTTCTGAAAGTCATTTTAAGAAAAACATTTTTCTTAAAGAAAAAAAAAACACAAAAACTTAAGGGCACATTGTACACATATCTGACTATAGTAATAGCCTGCTAGGATTTTGCTTGTTCTAAAATATAATTTATCTATCGATAAGATATCATAACATTTCTTGTCTGAATGGGAGGAGTTGGTGGGAGACAAGGAGCACTTATGTCAGAGAGAGGGAGCAAAATACTGGGAAATATGAGAGGCTAGAAATATCAAAGATGAGCTGGGGCTACCTTACCTTTTTTCTTGGAGCGAGGCACACTTGCTTACAACTGGATGTGAGCCGGCAGGCCTTGCTCTGCGTCCTTTTGCCCTGTGTGGGAAGTGATAAGCTATGAGTCAACCTGGTTTTGACTGATGAACCAAGTAGTAGGTGACTTTTTCCCCCAACCACAGCAGAATTTATAAATAGAATTCAATTCCAGAGATTTCAAGTATAGAGGGATCAGTCTATTTTACATCTTTCTCTACACAATAAATACGGATAAGGGGGGCCCTTAAGAAAACCGTATGCCCTGTCTTCCAAAATACATGGCTTATATAAGTTAATCATTCAAAACTAGAAATCATCTCAAAGGATATGGAAAGTTTAATAATGACAATATGAATTCAAAGAGCAGAGACATATTTGAGGGTTCATACCATAAAAGAAGTACCCCGACTTGGAGCAGGATAGCATTGACTATTTGAGTTTGGAGTTTATTGAGATCTTCAGCATCCTTCTCATCACTCTCAAAGAACATCTCTAGAGCTTCAACTGCCATTGTTTTCCTCCTTGTTCTTTTCTCTTCAGTTTCTTTTCCTACTAACTTCTAGAAGTACCCCTGACTTCTGCTTTTAGGGACTGGAAATTTTACTCTGAGGGGATGGAAAGTGATATTTTCTAACATTGGGGGGCATTTTTCATTTGCAATATTTTTCATTTTTTACATTTTGTTTGAAAGAACAGAGAACTAAGACCTTGCCAAACAAGTAATAGCTAAATAGAAATAGCTAAATAGAAAACAATAATGCAGCTTCCTTTCATTTGAAAACATGTCACTCCTGGCAACCAATATTTGTACATAAATTTCACTTATCCTCATAACAGAAAAGGAAAACAAGATCCAGTATTTTTCAAAGAATTTCACTAACAATACTAAATTCTTGTAAATTTTGATTATATTGAAGTGTTTTACTCTTTCCTTTCCTTATATTTGCCCATCTTTTTTTTTTAATACAAGAAAGACTCCACAGAATCTTACCTCATATTGAAAAGTATTGTGCATGGGAAAATATTATCATCCCCATTTTTTGATAATAATAATCACATTATATTGCATAATAGGTCTAAAAACATTTCATTCACAAAATAAGCCTTGGATTCCAGATTAGTAATGAAGAATATAAGGTGGTAAAGTCGTAACTAAACAGGATTTACTGGCAGTCTGAAACCTCAATTTCCTACTGTAATTTTGGAAAGATTAAATAACTGGCCTAAATTCTGGAAAAGTAAGTCTAGAATCCTGGAATTTGGGATGCCAACTCCTCATTTCCTTGGGACCACTAGCACTTTTGAACATTGATCCAATTTAGGGGGAATTTTCTATCTCATCAATCCCTATCTTGGTCTGTGTAGCCTGATGCTCAAGTCCCAAGCCTCTCTTGAAGCTACAGTTAGGGGAAGGAAAGTCACACCTAGTTTTCAGATGCAAATGTTGAAGAGATTCTAGCAGAATCATCCACTGTCCAGCCTCAGGGTGCTGATGGTTCAACATCCACTGTGCCCAGTGGAGGGACAGGGCTGAGTATCATTGAGGTCAGTTCTCTGGCAGAATGTGGCCTGTTGCTCCTGGTCATGTAACTTCTAAGCCTTGCCCTTGGACTGCTAGAGAAGCTATGAGCTATTTATACTCTGTAACAAATGTAAATCCTTTTAAAACTCAATAAGGTGAATTCCTTTCATTTGCAACTGAAAGCCTTGACTGATACATACATAGTTCAAGTTTCTTTTACTGGGAAAACATCCCACCAGGCACAGAGTCCTTAACAAACATTCCTTGGTCACTTTTAGGGTTTGGTCTCAGTTTCATTCACTCTCATTATCAATACTCTGCCCAAACTACTGTCTCTGATTTGAAGATGGGACTAGAAAGAGGTCAATCTTTAGTTGTAAAAATGCTGCTGTTGTTAAACTGTCTCATTTATTCAGCCAATATAGTGTCAGTGTGTTGGGTGGACATAAACTTGGAAAACCAAGTTTGTGATACTGTGGTTGAGGATCTCAAATGTCATTTACTTTTATTATTATTAGGTGCCATCCTGATTTTAGATGCCAGCGTTAGAACTGACAGTGTTAGAACTTGTAATACATCTCGTAGCTTTCAGTGATCTGATCACGTTTGTGCTATAAAAAGATCTCTCTGCCTGAGAGGTAGGCGAGAATAGATTGCAGAGGAGAGAACTTCAAAATTGGGAGACTAGACGGGAGGCTTTTTTGACATATCAAGTAAAAGAAAATGGTGATCTGAAGTAGGATGGTGGCAAAGAGGTAGAAAGAAATGGACAGATTTGAGAAAGTTTAATAAAAGTTAGAATCCATCAAAACTGATGATTAATTGGATATGAAGGCTGAAAAATGGAACAGTTAAGGGAAAAACACCAAGAGTGACAACTACTGAGATTAGTAAGACAGGAGGAGGAGGGAATCTGTGGGGAAGATTTTGTTTTATACATGTTGGTTTTGACCACTATGGTCTATATAGGTAGAGATGACAGCAAGATATACAAATTTAGGAGAAAAATGAGGACTAGACAGAGAATTGGGGGTCTTGAGTACAGATTTAACAGAGAAATAAATACTTAAGTCATGGTGGTAGATAAGATCACCCAGGGAGAGTGAGGAAAAATGAGTTATGCAGCAGTACTGCAGGTGGTACGAGGACCCCTGAATGTGCTTCAGACTGTTTTGGGGGTCCAGATGGATAAAACTACTTCCACAAGTAAGTCTAAGATGTAGTTTGTCTTTTATGTTCTTATTCTGGCACAAGTGTACAGCAGAGATTTTCGGAATCTACCTGATATGTAATGTTATCACTCTCTAGACTAATAGAATTTGTACATGTATATTCCAGTGTTTCAAGAATTTCTCAATGTAAATATCTAATATGGTCAATGTTGACAGATACAACAGACTTAAATATAAGCACTTTAGAATCTTCTGCATTTTTCAGTGTAAAGATGCATGCTATGAATAAGTTTCAGAATCAACAGACCTCCTAAGTGGAGAATTTAGCCTTATTTTATAGGCAAGGGTGATCATTAAAGATTGAGGCATTTTAACAGAAAGGTGTTCAAATGGCATCCTTGATGATACCTTTGATGGAGACAACTTGAAGTTATGCAAGAGATTTAAATGGTAATTCTAACAACTTGGGTATGAAGTGAGTAGGGGCTTGCACAGTGGAAGTAACAGTGTGACTAACAATGGGTAATAAAAAAGAATAATAATTGGACTTTATTTTTGGCTGAATATAGCTTACTACTGAAGGGAAAAAAAAGAGGAAGAAATAATTAAAGTTGGGCCTATGTGAGTGGACGAAAGGTCTTTCTTTCCCTATCATTTGAAGCGCAGGAAAAACTATTTTTGAGGTCTGATGAGGATTCATGAGAGCAGCATTGCCCAATAAAAATAAAATGAGAGTCACATTTATAATTCTAAATTTTCTACCAACTGCATTGAAAAAGCAAAAAGATGAAATTAATTTTAATAATACATTTAATTTAACCCACTATATCTAAAGTATTATCATTTCAACATGTCAAATATAAACAATTTTGAGGGTTTTTTTGGGGGGAGGTTGAAAGTCTTTGGAATCTGGTGAATATTTACAGTATATATCAAATGAGACTAATCACTTTACAAGTACTCAGTGACCACAAATGGCTAATGGCTGCCACCTTCAACACAGTAGTTTCAGACTACTCCTTTCTTGAGTCAAGGTCATCAGGACCCTATTGTTGATTTGTCTGGGGGTTAAAAATAACTTTGATATTTTTGAATTATATACTCAGGAAGGGATGGATTTGTACTGAGTTACCTAACTCTTACCAACTGTGACTTCACTCTGGTAAAGCATAATTATAGGTCCATTGTAAGGAAAAGATCCAAGTGTTGATCGTTTGCTTACTTGGAACTGACTGTCTGACCTGCCTTTTATAGATAAAGTCTATAACGGAATGCAACTAATCAGCTTTGCACACTAATTTTGGTCAGTGGAAGAGAAAATACTGTTTGAATTATGTGAAAAGACAATATGAATAGTATTAAAAGGATATGAAAATCAATGAAGGGATGCAGTAATTTTGGAAAGAGGTGATAAAATAATACTGAAAAATGACTTTAAACTTTTAGAAACAGCAACTGTGTTAAGAAACTGATATCCTTCATTACTCATGTCCATAGAGCATCATTATTTTTCTTGTAATATGAGACCTGTGCTGTTCGATAAGGTACACATTGTATAGTTTCATAAAGGTCCTAAAACACAGGACTATTCTCATGGAATGTAATTAACAATCAATGACAGAAGAAGAAAAAAAGAAGTTAAACTGAGATTCCCCAATGCAAAGATTTCTGGTATTAAGAGATGAGAGGATTGGAGATGAGTATTTCATGCATCTCTTTAGAGGAACGTGAGCTTAGAGAAGGCAAAATCCAGTAAAATGAGAGAAGATTAGATTTTGATAGTATATAGCAAATCACTGTAGTATGCCTCCTCACCATATGCTCATTCTATGATAAGTCCATATTCCAAAATGAAATGAGAAATTAGGATGCATGGCATTATATATCCTCTGGGAAGGATAATAATAAAAAAAACCTGTATAACAAAAAAAAAATTTTTAAATGACCACACCCATCAAATACTCATTTTCAAAGTTCAGATAGTACATGTATTTCTTTACCTCATTAACTTGGAAAGTTATTTTGCAAACGTATCAAGTCTTTCCATCTTAAAGTTCCTGCTTTCCTTGGATATGTAAGATTAACTAACCCCAAATCTTTTTTTTTCTTTTTTGGTTGGGTAATGAACTCCCCTAAATTATTTGTTGTTGTTTGCTTTAGATTATGAGAATCCAGGAGTCATGATGTAATGTTGCTATGGTAATGAATGCATATAAATAGATGATTAAGAATGGGGGGGATGTTAAATCTTAAAAAATACATTTTTATGTCCATTGTTTTTCAGTGAAATAAATCTCACATATAAATTTTTTGTTATGTGCAAAATTATGAAAGATGTGTTGTATTCTATCAGATTTTGAACAATGTATTTGTATTGTTTATATTATATACAGGTATCACTCAAGAGGCTCCAAAGAGTTTTCTTAATAATATTTCACTTAAAATGATATCGGATTAAGACTAGATTAATTTTCATAGAGGTATGTGTGAAAATTATAAGGTTGAACATCTTTTCTTGGTTGCTATGAAGGACTTAAGCATATTAGAAAGATTTATAATTGCCTAAGACTCTTTTTGCCAACTACTGAGATTCAATACTTAGAGTGGTTAACTCTTTACTTAAAGCCTCCATAATATTGATGTTGGAAGGAGACACATGCACAAGAGGACAAGGGAAAATGGCATTTGAATATTTAAAGCACTCCCACAAATTAAGTACTTATTTTGTACTTTTGACATATTAATCTCTGTGCGTGTGTGTATGAGATTGAAAGAGAGAAAGAGAACTTTGCACCAAGAATTCAAAAGATTGTGATTCTTTCATTGGATGACTATTAACCAGCTAGACCCTAACATTGTTGAATTTTTTTTCTTTATGTTGTGCTAAGACAAAAGGAATGACCTTAGCCATCTGATGATTCCTTAGACCAGTACTGTCCAGTAAAGTTATGAGAGCCAATGTGTAATTTAAATTTTTCTAGTAGCCATATTTAAAAAGTTATAAGAAATGAGTGAACTTATTAATTTGGGATTATATTTTATTTATCCCAGCATGTCCAAAATACTGTGCTATATGTTATTTCAACATGTAAGCAATATAAAATTTATCAGCAAAATTCCTCACTGTGTAGGTCTTTGAAGTATAGCCCATTATTTTATATTTATATCATAAGTTAATTTCGGGTAGACACACTTTAAGTGCTCAGTATATATATGTGGCTAATGGATAGCATATTGACAATGCCCCATTACACTAAGAGAAAACATTGAGTTTGTTTGAAATATTGAAGTTATTCAATAACAGGCTTCTTGGGCTAATAACCTTGCTTTCTTAGAAGATAAGAATTTTCCAATGCGCAGGGACACTGCTTACTGTGTCCAAGAGACAAAATAAATATGTGGAGAGTAAATACCTGACATTAGTGTAATGCCTTATGGCTTAACAGTGCTTTCACATTCACTACCCTTTTAAATCCTGTAATGGTTCTAAGAAACAGGGAGGGATGAAGTTCCATTTACTTTTGAGGAAGCAAACCCAGAAAGGACACTAAATCCTGCTCTTTAGACCCCCAGTCTCATGATCTGATGGTAGATGGCAATCTAAAGTACAGTTACCAAAAGATGAGCAAACCAAGTCAGCCAAAATATGTTTCTTAGCATTTTGTTGCCTTTTTTTTTTTTTAAAAAAGCATCTGTTTTGTGGGTGTCTGGAAGGGTTCTGGTTTGTCCCACATCTCTTTTTTTTGTTGTTGTTTGCTTGAATCCAGAACAAAATGAGAACAAAGTCTCTTTTTCTGGTATATATCTTACATATATTTAATTATTTTGATTGAGGTAACATTGGCTTACAATATTGTATATGATCTAGAAGTATAGGATCACCCTCTTCAGGTGTTGTTACCACACCACACCCACCACTGAGACAACTATAGTCCTCCATCATAAGCCATATGCTCAAGAATGTTTTGATTCATCCAAGTGGTGGTGGAGGTGGGGGATGGGTGAAATCCTCAGGCCTGCCACTCTCATGCATTAAAGTTCAACAAATTTCCACCCCCAATCCTATGATCCTTTTAAAGTAAAATCAGGGGCCTCCCTGGTAGTACAAGGGGTTAAGTCGCAGCACTATGAAGCATGCTGCAGCCACTGCAGCATGAGTTAGATCCCCAGCTGGGTTGGTGACCCACATGGCACAGCAGACCTCTCCTGTCTCACCTGCTGCTCCCCTCAGCAGTGTATTTCAGTCAGTCCGCCTGTTCTGCTCACCACTCTGTCTCTGGTGAATCCTCTCAACCCCCACACATCTGGTCTGTACCCCAGTTCTTGTATGCATAAATAAATAAATCTTAAAAAAAAGGTGAAATCAATGGTTTATGTCATTTCCTTATAGGTCTTTCATAAACCTCAAAAATAACACTGGTGTTACTTAGGGCAAAGCTAAATGCAGTACTGTCCCTTACTCTAAAGCAATTAATTTATATGACAATGAGTTTGGAGGCAGCCAACAATAGCATTTAGTACTAGTATTGAATTTTTGGCCTTTTGTGTTGTTCAAATTAAAATAATGACTTCACTTTAATGCACAGGCTACATGGGTGCATTGAATTTAGGCTACTTTCAGTTAGCTGGTAAAGCTACCTCATATTTTCCGATACAGTCCACATGATAAGCACACTCATTTGATAATAAACCTCCAGGGATTTAAACAATATTCAAACAAGTTTCTGTAATCACGGTGTATTATTCCTTCAGCCCTCCCTCCACCCCAGTTCTTCAATTGCTGAAACTGTAGCTGTGCAGATGTCTACATCACTTGGCACAGGAGGTCCAGCTTGGGTTGTAATTCATAGACTGGAAGGCATCAGAGCAGAGGGTGCGTTAAACCAAAGCTATATAGGTAGCCAGGGCGTTGGGGAAAATCGATTATTTCTAGAGCTGGACAGAGAGGGCGCCCTTCCACAGACGCGCACACAGACACGACCTGGTAGTGGCAACAGCTGGGCCGTGATATCCCGGGGTGTCTCGTGGCTTAGTATAGTTAGAAACCTTCAGGTCACCGGACTATGAATGCCTGCCAAGAGATTCTTGATTCTGGACGGGTGGCTCTTCAGCTGGAGCCCGGGGAGCGGACCACCAGGAAGTAACTGCTGCAGGATTGAAGTTTTCCTAAAGTCTTCGTGGGGATTTCCCTTCCGTCCCAACCCCCACTCCCAGACATCCAGTCTTGGGGGACCTGCACCACCCCTCTTCCTTCCCTCCGCCCTCCTCTTGCCCACCTTCCAAGCTGGACGGGCTCTCTGCCTAGCCATGCGACCGCCCGTGCCACCTGCCTGCCAAGCACCAGGCCGTAGGTCGGCTGCGCTAGGGCGCAGGGGGCGGAGGCGCGGCAGGGGCGGGCTCTGTCCCCCCACCCCGCCCCTTCCCAGCCGGGGCTGCTGGGGCCAGTGGCAGGAGTGACGCGCACAGCCAGCCGCGGGGGGCGTGGGATGGGGGCGGCAGGGAAGGGGGACGTCTGCACCGATTAGAGTCAACCGCACATTTCAAAAAGGTGTGGGAACTGCGCTCCCTCCCGCGCCCCGGGAACTTCAAAGCAGTCCGCTTTGCCCGGGTCCCTCCGCTGCGCTCTGGGGCCTCGCAGCCGGGGTGCGGCCGCCTGGTGGCCATGACCCGGGCGCTCCGAGCTGCGCTCAGCCAGGCTCTGCTGCTGCTCGCCGCGGCCACAGCGCTTTCCACAGGTACGAGGGGGCGCTTCTTCCCTCGCTCCCGCAGGGGTGGGAGTCGGGGGCTGCTGCGAGTGGGCATGGCGGTGGGGGAAGCAGATACACGTATCAAACTGACCTTCCACCGGGCGGAGTGGGGAGCGCCTGTTGGATTGAGGGGGCGCAGGATAGTGTGCAGCGTGGGCACCTGACGTCTGGCAGCCATAGGGGTAGACAGGTGTATTGGGAAGGAAGCCGCCAGGAGTGAAAAAAGCAGCAGGGACGTGGTGGAATGGGTGACAAATTTGGGGGAAGTCTGCAACCGAGGGTGTAGGAGAGTGTGTTTGTTGGTGTGCGCAAGACTGGGGGTTGGATGGCACCATAAATTCAGTCCCCAGGGCTTTCGGACGCCCTGTGCTGAGCTCCAGAGAGCTCCAGAGAGCTGAGTATGGATGGCGTGGTGGTGAGAGGACGGGCAGTGGTGGTGGCGATTCAGTGTTTTAGGATGCGAGGGATACCTCAAAGCCGCTGGTGCCAAGCTATGTAGGCAGGAGCAGGAGCTTGAATCTGCGTGGTTTGCAATGCATAGTGCTTTCGAGGTACTATCTTTACTAAGAGTCGCAGGGGGAAAAAAAAAATCTGGCAAGCGCCCCAGAGTTTATAACAGGTCTGTGCCTTGATAGGCTAAATAGAGTCCGGGGCCCAATCTAGACACCAAACGCGTTGCAGGGGAGCAACGCATCTTTGGTGAAATTATACTGTGCTATTAGGAAAAACCCTTTTAACTCTTAAACTGTTTTCATAATAATTATATTCTGGGTTATGGAGCCCAGACCAGTTTTCTTACTAATTCATTCTTTAAATATTTCAATCAAATAGTTAAGGCATTTATTTACATATAAAAACCTGGTGTTTTTCCATGGAGCTGTACTTTGTCCGAAGCTGCTTTTCATGCATTTTGTTTTCCTAGATGACAATCTATTTACACTAATGGCTATAATCTGCGGGGGGTGTTTTTCCTCTTAGTGACATGTGCAGAAGAATGTTTTGAATAGTAAGATTCCTGTTGTGTACAGACTTCAATGTTCCAGATAGCCTGAGAGAATTACTAAATACAATATTCAAGTGACAACTGGAAGGAAATAATTGACACAATATGAGGATCAGTTATCTTTGAAAAGGCACACCCTATTAGGAAAGTAGTTACCCAGAAATTGTCAGCAAGGTGATAGAGTGAAATATTTGCATTCAGAGTTTGTGAATTCAATGGGAGGAAAATTTTGGAAAAGTCTTTGAGAAATGGGCAGAAGTAACACTAACTTAAAATACTCAAAGTGCACTTGGCAATTTAACAGAATAAAAATGTGTGTGTGTGAGAAATAGACTCAATTATCTTTTATCTTGTTTGAAAGATATATTTTGTTACACAGCAGAATCTTAAGAAAATTTCAGAAACCCCAGGCATAATAACATGAAAACATGCCCCTGTATTTCTGAGGAGACAAGGAAATTTTTGACATTGAAATGTGCAAAGAAGAGAAAATGGATCATTAAATTAAATTTGCTTTCTTAAAATTTGAAGGCTAAAAAAAGCCTTTTATGGAGATAAATATGTCAATATCTACACATTTACCTCCAAAAATTAAAATCGAACAATGAATTTTTCTATGTTAAATGCAATATTTCAAGTATCACTAAGAAACTTTACTTCTCTTTGTGTCTCACAGAACCAACATGTGTTGTTCTCTAGATTATTGATTCTTAATTTTTATACAAATCATTGATTATTTGGTAGAGGGATAAAAGTAGTTGTATTTCATCTTTTAAATTGTTTTCCTCATGCAGTTACCTACACTATTTTTGATCTGATCACTTTTACAAATTACATTTTAATGATGTCAACTTTTGATAATGTACATCCCATTGTTGACATGTTATATAAGTTGCTATTGATACAGTGACATGGTGAAACCACATGACAGAAAACCACCTTCCAATTTGGCTCTGTGGAGCTGCAGGCCTGGTACCTTAAATATCTGAAGACATAGATAAAACAAACCCTTTCTGCTTTAGTTTTTCTTCCCTAGCATCTGTTACCTTTTGTGTCATGAATTAACAGCAGGCTACAAACCCTGCTCCTTGATGAGAATCTCAGGGGTAACTGGTGGTGGAAACAAAAAAAGTATTTATTGATCTGACTTGGCTCAAAATTTAAGCTGCTCTAAGAGTTGCTCTAATTATCTATTGCTAATTCCTGGGTTCTTTGAGGTTTGTCAAGAAATACCTGACATGATCTCATAGCATATATCATGTGTACTAAACAAAGAATTGGCAGAAAATGTCCTAGTGCTCTTAAATTTGAGGCTGTGATTTGGGTATTATATAGATTTACACACACTGCATTCTCCACTAACTTTTCATGAAATTCCTTTGTTTTCTGGTTGGGAAAGAATAGTAAGAGTCTAGAAAGCTAGCTGCTGTTATTCTAAAAATGAAAGGATAACTCTTTCCAGGGTGTAGAGGTTAGGTAGTAAGATTTTCTTCCCTTAACAACAATTAGCAGTTCCCACTGTTAATTTTAAGCTGGCTGGAAGTGAAAGCGAAAGGCTTGGGCTGACTAAGTTTATAAATGCAGGAGCGTTTGCCACCTTTGCCCTTCTTTAGCACATTCATTTATTGGTTGATTTACAAAAATGTGGTAAGAGGCTCCCTGGTTCCAGGGAAGAAACTTTTCTGGCTCAGGAGAAACTTCATGTAGAAGACCTTGGGAGCTTATTTCTTCATTGCTTATACTGCCTCAACTGGTTATCTAGACTGAAACTTACAGAAGCACAAAATAGAGTTTCTCTGATTTACTACAGTCAGATGAAAATAAAGAATTTGAGGTACGAGAGAAAAAAAGGAGCAAAGAATCACTCCAAGTTTTTGACCCAAGCAGTGGCTGAGCAGACCCTTAGCGAGGTGATCCACTGTAGGGGGAGACTTCTGAGGAGGCGGGGGATGGTGGCAGATGGCTGGAGCTCAGTTAGGGATATGTTGGGTTTAAAATGCCCATTAGACACTTAAGTGGAGGTGTCAAGAGAGCAATTGATTTTATGGGTCTGGAGTTCAGGAGATAAATTGGGACTAAACATAAAAAAATTAAAGATCCGTGGTCATTTACAGATAATTTTAACAGACACATTAAATAGGATCTCAACTTTAGCAAATCGCAGACACCCAGTTAGACTGAATTTCAGGTAAACAAATAATTTTTGAGTATAAATATGTTATAAATATGAATTAGGGCATACATATATTAAAAATTCATTGCTACTTAATTTCAACTTAACTGGGGATTCTATGCATTCAACATTAAAGGAATATTGTAGTATGATGAATTGCTTCTGATGTTTGTATTCTTACACCAGAAAGAGAAGTAGACCTGTTTTCTGGTTCTTATCTCTTAAACCTTCTCTTGTTCCAGCTTTGCTGTAGTCTCTAAAGGCATCTCTGAATGGGTCACTCCCAACTCTTTGCACTGAATGTCTCCACTGCTTCTGAGTGAACAGAAAGATGTATAGGCTTTCCCAGTCATACACGAGTATCTTGAAAACATGTGTAAAAAAGATAAGAATAACTCTCTAGATTCTCTGCAAGGGATTCTTCTGTGGATGCAATTGGTTTTGCCCAAATATACAGTATTTTAATGTAACTACTATTTTCTTATTTTTTATTTTTGAATATATTTTTAGAGTATTCCTTTTAAATAAACATTCATATGTTCTTTTAGAGAAATGCTCCCAGGCAACAGTCAAATTCCAGCTTGTTGTATTTTTCTGGCAGGACTTCTCACATCACATCTCTTATTGTAAATAAGTGAAAGTTATAATATTGGAGGAAGGGTAGTGTTAGGGTTAGGAAGGCCAAGAACCTACAGGAACTGTTAATCAATCACAGTTTGAGGTTTAAGAGTAATGTTCTGAATACAGTGATCATAAGTCCTTTGGAAAACAGGCAGGAATACAGGAGTATGAAGCAAAGGTTGTTTAGTTACTGCTATGGCTAAATCTTGGACTGCCATTGTGGCTAAATGATTAATATTGGCATCATTTTCAGATTTATAGGGAAAATCTACTATAAATGAACAACTGCAGACATGATCATTAAAAAGCTCAAACAGGGCTTCCCCGGTGGCGCAGCGGTTGAGCACTGGGTTGCGATGCTGCCCGCGGCCTCTGCGGCGCCGGTTCGATCCCCGGCTGCTCCCCGGCCACCGGAGGAGGGTCCCACATGGTGCACAGACCTCTCCTGCCGCCCACTGCTCCCCTCAGCAGTGTACTTCGGTCCTTCTGCCTGCTCTGCTCCCCGCTCTGGCTCTGGTGAATTCTCTCACCCTCCCGCGCTTCTGACTGTACCCAGTGCATGTATAAACAAAACAAACAAACAAACAAACAAACAACTAAATAAATAAAACATGCCTCTAAAAAAAAAATTTAAAAAATAAATTTAAAAAGCTCAAACAGATATGTTCACATGTATATAGTTTATTTCAGTATTAAATAAAATGAGGTTAACTTTTTAATATAAACAAAAAGAAGTATACAGAAAAAGAGGAAAAATTCTAAGGACAAAACATGTTTTATGCATCATTCCTTATTTATATCTGCAAATTTTCCTTTGGATTTTCCATTGTTTTGGTCTCCTATGTTTTAAATTTTTTGCAAGTGATAGTCAAAATCACAAGGTTTATTTTTACCTAATAAACTGTGGTGGAGGGTTAATGGGTGCTTTGGTGATGGTTGTGTTATATTAACAGATCTTAAGAGGTTTAGGTGTACCCCTAAATCATACAGGGTTGTAACCCAATGTTACCCTCAATTAAAAAGATAGTTAAAATAAAAAGAAATAGCAATAATATTGGTTGTGTTCATTAAGTGATACTGAAAGGCCACTTTTGCTGAGGGAGCTAGAAATACCTAAATACTGTCTTGGCTCAGCTGTGCCTTTCCTCTAGTTTAAGAGGGGACATTAATAGGAATATCTAAAAAGGGGAG